GAATCTTGGGGTGATTTGGGGTTTGCCTCAAAGTCATGGAGGCTGCTAAGGCTTGTGTGGGTCTTGCCCAAATGCGATCGGGCGAGTTGGAAGGGACCTCGGAGGTCTTCTAGTCCAACCCCCTGCTCAGGCAGGAAACCCTATAGTACCGTAGCTGTCTAATCTCTTCTTAAAAACCTGACAACGGCACCATGGGGCGGAAAAAAATGGGGGGGATTTATGACCGTTTCCCATCCTTACGGCCGTTGCAGTGTTCCCCGTGGCCGCGCGGTCAGAGTTCAGACCCCTGGCAGCGGACGCCGTCTTTATGACGGCCGCGGTGTCCTGGGGCTCCTGCGATGGTCCCCTCTTGCGACCTTCAAGCGAAGGCAAACGAGGAACCCGGATTCGTTGAACGACCGTGTTCCTCGCTTAAGAGCTGCCGTGATTCGCTTGCAGCAAAGGTGGCAAAGCTCACGGAGGTTGGGGGCTTACGATGGTGGTCGTAAGTCGAGGAATACCCTGTATTGCAGGGCTGCGCTCCTCTTTCTCTGCAGAGGGGACAGGAAGTGCAGCTAGCAGTTCGTTGGTTCATTGGTTCTGCTATCTTTCGCCCATGCTACATTTCATCTTGGAAGGGGCCTGGGAGGTCATCTAGTCCAGCGGTCTACGGCCTTTGTGGCTTGGTGACCTGGATGGAAGGGGGGGGGCACAGCCTTGGGGATTGGGGACCCCTGTTCTAGTCCAGCCCCTGCTCAAGCAGGAAGCCCCCTACCCTTTCACACAAATGGCTGTCCAGTCTCTTCTTAAAAACCTCCAGGGATGGAGCAATTACAGCTTCTAGTGGCAAGCTGTCCCAAGGGTTCACTCTTCCTACTGTCGGGGAAATTCCTCCTCGATTCTAGGTTGCTTCTCTCCTTGATGAGTTTCCATCCATTGTTTCCTGTCCTGCCTTCAGGGAAAATAGGTTGGCCCCTTCCTCTCCTTTGGGGCAGCCCCTCAAATATTGGAAGATACTATCATGTTACCCCTAGTCCTTCTCTTTGCTAGAATTGCACAGTTGGAAGGGGCTTTGGAGGTCTTCTAGTCCAACCCCCTGCTCAAGCAGGGGATCTTATATGGTTTCAGACAAATGGTTGCCCAGTCTCTTCTTGAAAACCTCCAGTGATGGAGCGCCTACGACTTCTGGTGGCAAGCAGTTCCACTGGTTAGTTGTGCTAACGGTCAGGAAATTTCTCTCCTCGGTTCTAAGTTGTTTCTCTCCTTGAATGGTTTCCATCCGTCGCTTCGTCTCTAGCCTTCAGGTGCCTTGGAGAATAGGTGGACCCCCACTTCTTTGGGGGAGCCCCTCAAATATTGTAAGACTGCTTATCATGTCTCCCCCCTTCCCCAACTCCTTCTTTTCTTTAGACTAGCCAAACCCAGTTCTAGCAACTGTTATGTTTTATCCCCCTCATCGTCCCCCACCTTCTATTTCCTCGATCTGTTTTTAATATTCTGCCTCTGCTTTTATTCTTCTTTTTTCCCCCCTTTCAAATGCCTGGATGCAGAATTATTCCCATCTGGCTACGGGGAACAACCGAGCTTATAGGCTGGGCTTTTCTTTTATCTCGTGGTTATCCTTGTGTGTTTGCCTCCCCCCATCCCTCCCCTTGCCACATTCTTCACACACACGCACACACACACACACACACACACGGCCAGACCCACTGTGTCTTTTTTATTTTATTTTATTTTTTTGTTCAGGCCTGCCTTTGTTTTCTGCGACACGCCTATTTCTGGAAACCATTTTGAAATTAAATAAATTCAGATCCCTCCCCCTCTGTTGAGCTGGCTGCATATTTTTTTTTTTTTTAATTTTCAATCTCTCTCTCTCTCTCTCCCCGCCCCCACCCCCCCCTTCCTCCTTTTAAAAGCCTCGCCGAGCTCCGTTATTTCTTTAATGGCATCCCTTTTCTTTAATCGCCCGTCCGCAGTGCATTGTGGGAGGTATCGACCATCAATAATTAAACGAGGCCCCGATCCACTCGTCAAGATGAGATCATACAGCGCCAGGCGGCCATAAGCAAGGTGGCTTCGTCGGGGGATAAATTTTCGAAATGGTTGGAAGCAAAGCCTCCCCCCAGGCTGGAAAAACGTGCCCCCTCCCCCCTAAAATTATTATTTTTTAAATATAATAGAAGAGAGGAAAAAAATATTATTGCATTCATTCTATGAAGTAGAGAGGCCTCACATTAAATAGTATCAAATTTCTTTTTGTTGTTGTTGTTGAGGCTTTACCTTGTCTTTTGTCCTGGCCATGCTTTTTGTAAGTCCTCGACTTATAGCGTCCTCATGATCCCCTGATCAAAATTCGGGCGCTTGGCCAATTGACTCCTCTGTTTATGATGGTTGTAGTGTCCCGAGGGCAGGTGAAATTCCCCTTTTGCGACCTCCTGACCAGCAAACTCCATGAATCGCTTAACAACCAGGTTACTAACTTATCAACCACTGTGTTTCACTGAACGACCGGTAGCCAGAAAGCTCGCAAAACAGGGCAAAATGTCATCAATGCCTTGCTTAACAAAGTTTTGGGCTCCGTTGTGGTCGTAAGTCGAGGACTACCTGCATAGCTCCTTGCATGTCATTCAAGGTCCAAGGTTCAGACTTTTGGCCTNGAGGGGAAGGATTTCATTTCCTTTCAGCTTGCAGACAGCTGGTCATTTGCATCCTTTCTAGAGGGTCGTTGAGGCCATTTGGAGGTTTATTTGTGTCTTCTTTAAAGACCTTTCGCTTCTCCTCCAAGAAGCTTCTTCTGCTCTGACTGGATGGTGGGGAAGGGAAGGATTGATCCTCCTTGCAGGCAGCTGGTCATTTGCATCCTTTCAGAGGGTCATTAAGGCCACTTGGAGTCCCCAAAGGTGCTTTTTTTCAAGAGGCAATTGGACTTTCTGGGTTTTTTTCCTAGAAGACGTTTCCTTTCCCATCCAAGAAGCTTCTTCAGTTCTGACTGGATGGTGAGGAAGGACTGATACTCGTTGCAGACAGCTGGTCATTTGCATCCTTTTTAGAGGGTCGTTGAGGCCATTTGGAGGTTTGTCTGTGTCCTCAGGGTCACCTGAGTGGTGCAAAGAAATGTGGAGCCTTCTTGGGACTGCTGAAAGGACCCAGACAAACCTCCAAGTGGCCTCAACGACCCTCTAAAAGGATGCAAATGACCAGGTGTCTGCAAGGCGTATAATATATAAATCCTTTCCCCACCACCGTCCAGTCAGAGCCGAAGAAGATTCTCGGATGAGAAGCAAAATGTCCTCAAAAGGGAAAAAAAACAAAACACAAAATCCAGTTGCCTCTTGGAAAAAAAAAGCACCTTTGGGACTCCAAGTGGCCTCAATGACCCTCTAAAAAGAATGCAAATGACCAGCTGCCCACAAGGCGCATAAATCCTTCCCTTTGGTTTTGTTAAGCGGTGACAGCAGGTGATGGATGGTCGCTTCCGATTTGGAGGGGCGGGGGGTGGGGAAACCTTCCCAATGTTGACACTCGGTTGGGGGACGCCCCACATTAATCACAGCCGGGTTAACGGCCGAGGCTCCCTTGCCCATTTTGTCTCGGTGAGGCGGCTGAGAAATCGCCGGAGGGGGCTCCGAGAGTCTCTGGAGCATTTAATTACCACCGAGGTAGAAGTAGCTGTCCTGCGATATTAATGGAGTCGGTTCGGCTGCCTGTCGATACGGATCTTCCCTCTGTGCGCGGAGGGGGAAGAAGAGCGGGAGGTTACAAAACTTGTTGGAGGAAAGGAGGAGGGGAAGGGATTAATGGCCTCTCCTCCTCCTCCTCCTCTTCGGCAGCTGTGAGGTGGAGTTGCTTCTGATTTACAACAATGGGGAACGAGAGGGGAGCTGGCCCCGGTGACTCCTATTAAGGAGTTACATTGCGTTTGCCGTACCTGCAGCATCAAAAGGGACTAGTGCCACTCGTGGCTCTTAACACTTGTACCAGGCCTTGGGAAATTGGGAGCCTGACCCCTTTCTAGGGGTGGTTGTGTTGTTAACTACATGTTTTCTCCCCCCACTATCTCTGGAAGGGGGGAAGTTCTAATGCACTCTGGCCATAATAAGCCTAGGAGATGTAGGAGAAGGAGCTTGGAGAGTAGGGTTGAGAGTAAAAAACACCCGTTAAAAAGGCGGAAATAGTAATTGAACTTGCCTGGATAAGGCTGGCAATGCAGGATTCGAATAGAAGAGAATGCTTGTAACTCAGGGTTGAATGGTGGGAGTTCTTGGCACTGTTGAACTGGGTTGTTTCCTTGCATGGCCCAGCTATGAAACATCATGGTGGTAGTGGGAGGGGTGGTGGCGGGCAGAGAGAAAGATTTGTGGAATGGAGAAAGGGGAAGGATAACTACGAGGTCCTTGGTGCTGTCTGAAGTTGGTGGTTTTCTCGTAGACGTTTCATGACCCAACTAGGGAACATCATCAGTGCTAGAAGGGAGTGGGGTTTGCGGAGAGGAGGAGTAGGTGAAGGACTGTGGGGTCCTTGGTGGTCTCTGAGCTTGGTGGTTTTCTCACAGACGTTTCATGACCCAACTAGGGAACATCATCAGTGCTACGCGGGATTGGGGTTTGGGAGGAGGAAGAGGAGGAGGAATGTGGGCTCCTTGGTGCTCTCAGTTTGGTGGTTTTCCTGCAGACGTTTCATGATCCAACTAGGGAACATCATCAGTGCTACGCGGGATTGGGGCTTGGGAGGAAGAGGAGGAAGAGGAAGAAGAGGAGGAGGAAAAAGAAGGAGGAATGTGGGCTCCTTGGTGCTCTCCCTTTGGTGGTTTTCCTGCAGACGTTTCATGACCCAACTAGTGAACATCATCAGTGCTAGAAGGAAGTTAATCAGCACTGATGATGTTCCCTTGCTGGGTCGTGAAACGTCTGCAAGGAACCCCCAAACTCAAGAGACCGCCAAAGACCACCCAGTTGTCTGTTTCGACGTTCCCTCGCTGCTCTTCCCTGCCTGGCCCTTTCCGTGCTGTGGGGTGGCAGAGAATGCAGCCCCTCGGAGGGCTGGCTGCAAGGCTCCAAGAGGACCCCCTCTTGTCCCTCGCCATTGAGCTCGGACGTGGCGCTGAAGCGGTCTCAAAGCAGGCGGTCTCCTTCTGTCGTCTGTCTGTCTTTTTCTTTTTGACGCCTGGGGATCCTTCCCCCCCCCCTGTTTTGTATTCCAGACGACGAAGAGGAGGATTTGTGCAGCTTAGAGAGTCCCCTCGTCGTCAAGAAGAAGAAACGAGGGCCGAGGAAGCAGAAGGAGAACAAGCCGGGGAAACCCAGGAAGCGCAAAAAATTAGTAAGTGCCCCCTAACCGAAGCCTTTTTCTCCCTCTCCCACGCGGACCCGTATCCCGTATCGTTGACGCGGGTATACTATTACGCCAAGCCAATTCGCCAACAGAAGGAGGACTTCTTTAGCGGTGTCCGTTCCTGACCTTAGGTGGAGGAGAACCAGTTTTGGGGCATGGGGGTGGGGAAATGGAAGCCGTGCCAGGATTTCTGGCCTTGGTTCTCACCCGCGCAGGGGAGTTGGATCTCCTGTAGTCCTAGCGATGCCTCAATCGGTTCAGAATTGTGTCGGCCAAGATTTGAACACTTCTCCTGTGGGTGACTGTATCGGCAGCCAGTTTCCTTCCAAATATTGGTGGTCACTGGGAAAAGAGCGTCCTTCCCAGAGGTGGGATTCACCCCGGCTCTATGGCATCACTTTTTTTAAAGCCCAAAGCGCATGCGCAGAAGGCCCATGTGGTCACATTTGCGAACCACCCTCTGGCCCTTCCAATTGTGGCACGACAAAACCACGCTCGTCAAAATCGCGGTGATAAAATCGCGTCGCTAAAGCCGCGATGTCATCACCGTGCGTCATCACCGCCGCGACAACAGCGTGGCAACAAAAGGGCGCTTTAAAACGGCGCCGCAGCAGAAAGCCGATTTCAATTAAGGTAAGGGTTAGGATTAGGTTTAGGGGTTTGTCTTAGGGTTTGTTTTAGGGTTAGGTTTAGGGTTAGGGTTAGGTTTAGCGTTAGGTTTAGCGTTAGGTTTAGCGTTAGGGTTAGGGTTAGGGTTAGATTTAGCGTTAGGTTTAGGGTTAGGTTTAGGGTATTGAGTGCTTGGGAATGCGCGGATTTGCCCTCCGCGATTATGTCATTGCGGTAGGGTCGCGTTTTTCCTTAGCGCTTCGAACGGCGCGAATTAGTCTTCGCGCTTATGTCTCCGCAGATAAGGGCTTCGTGGATTTGTGGTGGAACCCCTTCCAATACCCTGGTCCCAGGCCACGTAGTACCTGGAGACAAGTTATTTGAAGGACCACCTTTTTCCCAGTGACATCTATGTGACTCACCAGAGCAGGGAGGCAGGAGATGTTAGGGGTCTCCTTCCTTGAGTGGGACCCAAAAGAAGGGCCTTCTCTCTCCCTCCCTGCAGAGATAAGACCCCCCCCCCCTTTTGATTCACTCTTCCAAGTCCCGGCGACCCTAGAATCAGACCATCAAGGGGTCGGCATAAGTGCTGTTTGCCAGAAGGATTTATTTTTTCTACCGGGGTTTTATATTTCCCAGCCTCCTCCTGGAGTCACCAAGAGGGAGTTGGGCAGCTTATATACATGTTCTTAATAAATAATAAAAATTGCTGTGTGTGAAAAGGTTCTGCCTGGGTCAGAGGCATAGCGGATGGATGAAATAGCAAAAAAAAAAAGATCGCATTTTCACTTTTAATCACACAACAGCCCGAAGTAAAATCTGTTCTTAGTTTCTTTCACACTTAGAACGAGTTTTTATTGTTGTAAAAGATTGCCATTGTAATCTACCGAGTTTCCCCGAAAATAAGACAGGGTCTTATTTTCTTTGGATTCCCCCCACCCAAAATAAGCCCTTGCTCTTATTTTTGGGGTGGTCTTATAACTTTTGACGTGAAGGAAGCGGGGAGTGCGGTCACCTCATGGCTGCTGGTGTGTTGCAATATTTTGGGGGGGGGCTTATTTTCTGGGGAGGGCTTGTTTTAGCGCACGCGCTCGAAAGCCCAATTGAGTTTATTATCCAGAGAGAGGCCTTATTTTCGGGGAAACGGGGTATGTTTCTGACTTTCGAGCTGCCCAGAATCATTGGCTGAGATGGGGCGGCTATAGAAATCAAACAAAATAAATATTTCTGTGTAAATCAGAGGTGGGGAAAGATGGCCCCTTTACCACCTGCGGATTTCGACTACCCAGAATTCCCCGAGCACGGCTGGCTCAGGAATTCTGGGAGTCGAAGTCCACGGGTCATAAAGGGGCCATTCTTTCTCCACCCCTGGTGTGTGAAGCGTTGGAAGCTTTTCTGCATCTCCTCTTCGCATTGACAAAAAAAATCCCCCCAGACTGTTTCATTCGTTTGCCAAGTCGTTATGTCACAATGAAATCGGAAGGGGGGGGGGACTGTGGTCCTGGCACAGGGGGGGGGGCTTCTTCTCCTCCGTGCTCAGCAAGGGAGGCTGGCCTCTTAATTAATGCTAACGATCTCACTTGCCTTGGGCTCTGAGGTTTTTGTTTTTTTCTTTTCCCCTCTTGGCAGGTCAGTGAGGATGAGTTTGAGTCCGACCGAGAGGAGTATCGGGCCAAGTCGGAGAGCGGGGGCAGCGACTATGGGGGCGTTGGGAAGAAGAAACGGCGCAAACACCGGGAGAAGAAAGAGAAGAAGACCAAGCGGCGGAAAAAGACGGAGGAAGACGGAATGCAAAAGCCAAAGGTGGGAAGGATGCGGGGGGGGCCTTGGAGCCCCGGCCTCCTCCTCCTCCTCCTCCTCCGTGGCTGATGGGGTGGGGTGGAGTTGCCGGACAGTGAAAGCTCCAGCTCCACAGCTGTGTTGGGTGCTGCTTGTAATAGAAGAATCTTCCCAGACCGCTCAGCTTCCCCTGGGAACAGACAGAGAGGGTTTCATGGGGCTTAGGCGTGGGGAGGTCAGGCGAATGGCCCTTGCCACTACGCAAGGATGCAAGGCTACTTCCCCACTTGACTCCGCCTTGCCTTGCGTTTCCCAATTTCCCAACATGTACAAGAGCAATTAGCTTCAGGCTGAAAGGGGGGGGGGGAGCTGATAGGACTCCCCCTCTGCTGATCCCCTATTTTTCTCCTGTGCTGCAAAAGAAAAGAGGCTGAAGTCCTTTCTCTCCCTCCCTCCCTCCCTCGATCTCCCTCTTTCTTTCTTTCTTTCTTTCTTTCTTTCTTTCTTTCTTTCTTTCCTTTCTCTTTCTTTCTTTCCTATCTTTCTTGTCTTTTTCCTCCCTCCCTTTCTCTCTCTCTCTTTCTTTCCTATCCATCTTTCTTATCTTTTTGTCTCCTTCCTTCCTCCCCTCCCTCCCCTTCCTCTTTCTTGTCTTTTTCCTTCCTTCCTCCCCTTTTCTTTCTTTTTTTCTTTCTTTCTTTCTTTCTCTCTCTCTCTCTCTCTCCTATACTTTCCTATCTTGTCTTTTTCCTCTTTCTTTCTTTCTTTCTTTCTTTCTTTCTTTCTTTCTTTCTTTCTTTCTTTCTTTCTTTC